GCCCTCTGCCTTCCCAGCACCGTCTCCGTGGTGGCCTGCAGCGGCTGGGGCTGGGGGTCGGTGCCCCACGGCAGCCGGTGGCGGAGGGGGGGAGGAGGGGAGGGGGAGGAAGCCCTCCTCCTCACCGGCCGCTTTGCCTCGGCAGCTCGGCGGCCCCTTCCCCGCAGGCCCGCCATGGAGAAGTACCACGTCCTGGAGATGATCGGCGAAGGCTCCTTCGGGCGTGTGTACAAGGGGCGCCGGAAACACAGCGCCCAGGTGAGGGGAGGGGTGGCAGCGGGGAGGGCTGGGGCTCTGTTGTGTGGCGCTGGGGACTGATTTCTGGTGACTGTTGGGTTCCAAGGTCGTGCCAGGGCTTTGGGACTCGGCACTCATTCATTTTTCTGCTGATATTCCTGGCCAGCTCTTGCTGGCATGGAGTCGTTCGGGTTCAAGGGACCTCAAGAGGTTTCCAGTCCATCCCCTGCTCAAAGCAAAGTCAGCAGATCCCACAGGGACAAAGACCTCACAGCCAGTGCTTGACTGTACTCGGGGTGAATGATTTTTCCTTACATGATGAAAGCCCCTCTGTTTCAGTTTTTAATCCCTGTCTCACCCCCCCATGTTGCACGTCTGTAAAGAGCCTGGCTCTATCTTTTCTGAAACCTCCTTTTGGGAATCACAAGATTACTTTTCAGCTTCCCTAAGCATTTTTTCTTCTCCAGGCTAACCAAGCCCCCAACCTCAGCTTTTACACCACATGCTTCAGCCCTCTAGCTATCCCAGAGGTCTTTGCTATACACACCCCAGCCTATTGATGTTTTTCTGGGCCAAAAACCAGGCACAATATTGCCAATGTGGTCTAACAGGTGTTAAGTAAAGGGCAATAATGACTTCCTTCAAACTCCTACCTGTTGATACAGCCCAGAGTGCTGCTAGTGCTCCTCACTGCCAAGGCACGCTGCTGGCTTGTGTTAGGCTTGCTGTCAGCCAGTGTCTCTAGCTCCTGTCATGTGTTTGGACTGTTTCTGGCAGTCTTAGCTTTGTCTGGGCTCACTGATTACATTTTTTTGCTTTAAACGTCAGTGTGCAAAGTACTGTGGCCACCTGTATCGATGTGCAAGGGCCTGGAGGAGCCCCAGCTCCAAGGGATCCAGTGAACAAATGTCTTGTTCAGTGTGCTCAGGGGGAAAATGCTGAGTCCTGTTTGGGTTAAACGTGACCTCTGCCAGGGCAGGCAGGAGATTGGTCTGATCCCAACTTTACTTGCTTTGAAAGGTGGTGGCCTTGAAGTTCATCCCCAAGGTGGGGCGGTCTGAGAAGGAGCTGAAGAACCTGCAGCGAGAAATTGAGATCATGAGAGGCCTCCATCATCCCAACATCATCCAGATGCTCGACAGCTTTGAAACTGACAAGGAGGTGAAGGGCAAATGCTTTTGCTTGACTGGGGCCATGGGACAAGGGCTGGCTTCTGCTGTCATAGGGACCATTTTCTCAGAAGATGCTGGTGACACCCTCCCAGGACCTGGTCAGTGTTTTTCAGAGCTCCAGTATGTGCTGTTTGGGGAGCCACCACCTATCTGGGCTGTGTGGGGTGTGCAGGGTCATATACAGAGGTGAAGGAGCTCAGTGGGGTGTGTGTGTGATGAAGGGGAGTGTTTTGGGATCACAGGATAAGAGTGACTCTTCAGTCACCTCATCAGTCTTATCAGAGACTGACTTTTCACTGATTTGAACTTGCATGGAAAGAATGTGATAAGAAAGTGCTGTGCTATGGGACATGGGAACATGAAATAGAGTAATTGGGCAGCAGATTCAAAACAAGTTCAAGAGAATGATTCTACCCACTGGGCTTCTCCTGTCCTTCCCCATTCCCTGGTTTCTGCTGGCTGTATGAGATAAGGACAGCCACAAGGACTCTGCTAAGTGCTGGGCCCTTGCTGCAGTGCAGCCACAGGGGTCCTTCTTCCACCCCAGGTCCCAGCCCAAGCTGATGGGCTGTGCACAATGACACCCCAGCATCTCCCTCAGATTCCCTGCCCTGCTCTATCCCAGTCCCCAGTCATGGTGGGGATGCAGCTGGGTGGGTTCCAGATCTTACCATGCTGCTTTTCCCTCCAGGTGGTGGTGGTGACTGACTATGCAGAGGGGGAGCTCTTCCAGATCCTGGAGGATGATGGGAGTTTGCCCGAGGACCAGGTGACTGGTGTAGCTGTAGGATGGAGAGAACAGGATTTGTCTGCCTGCAGGCAGTGGGTCTCTGCTCTGGGCCAGGTGACATCAGGAGGGTAAAGGTGCTGCCAGGGCTTCACCTGGCAGAGCTTCTGAAGGGGATGGAGAGGGGGCCAAGATGCACTGGGGGACAGTGGAGTCCAGCAGTTTGTTGGAAACCAGTTGGTTTCCCTGTTCTCTCTCCAAGGACCACACACTGGCCTACTCCAAGGAACTGCTGGCCTATGGCTGGGGCTGGTACCTGCCCCAAACAGGGCAAGGGCAGGACTGGGGGTACTGGGGAAGCCAGGCCATAAGGAACACCATGGTTCTGCTGGCTGGTGGTGCTGTGGGGCGCAGGGTGAGACTCCTGTGTCTCTGGCAGGTCCAGACCATAGCTGCCCAACTGGTCTCTGCTCTCTATTACCTTCACTCCCACCGCATCCTGCATCGCGACATGAAACCCCAGAACATCCTGCTGGGCAAAGACGGCGTCGTCAAACTCTGTGACTTCGGGTGGGTCCTGGGGGCCAATGTGAGGCTTGGGGCAGCCAAGGGGTGTCCTGAGTGCTCTAGAGAAGGAGGGAGGAATGTAGAAGGGGGCCTGGATTCTGTGCATTTTTAGGGGTTGGCGGGGATGGGGGATTTTGGACTCCAGAGGGGAGAGATGTTGGTAAACTTGTAGGGATCTCCTTGGGAGCTGCAACAGATGTTTCAGCCTGAACTGACTGACTGTGCTTTGCTCTGAGCAGGTTTGCCCGTGCCATGAGCATCCACACCATGGTGCTGACCTCCATCAAGGGCACCCCACTGTACATGTCCCCTGAACTGGTGGAGGAGCGGCCATATGACCACACAGCTGACTTGTGGTCTGTGGGCTGCATCCTGTACGAGCTGTTTGTGGGCACTCCTCCCTTCTACACCAGCAGCATCTTCCAGCTCGTTAGCCTCATTGTCAAGGAACCTGTCAAATGGCCCGAGGCCATAAGCCCAGTCTTCAAGGTAAGGGAGAAGGCCCTAGATCCATGTGGAAGCAGCTTTGGCCTCACCTGCTGCCCAGGTGGGTCACTCTTAAGTTTTTTGTCGCCTAACAGGGATTTCAGAACACAGGGAAGGGATGAGAGCTTGGCCTCCTGTTCGGGATACCATGATCACTGCTGTCCCTCTCTATAAGCTGGGGAACTGGGGCTGACAGCAGAGGAGTAATTTACAAGGCTGGGAAGGGAAGTGTCTTCCCATCTGCTCTAAGCACTAGAGCCACTCCTTCCACAGAGCAGGGAATATAGGCCTCCTGGGTACCCTCTCTGGGGGAGACTGGTGGGTACAAGGTGCTCACTGGTGGGTGCTGAGCATGTGTGAGTGACCCTGGCACTGTGCTGCCCTGTAGAGCTTCCTGCAAGGACTACTAATGAAGGACCCCTGCCAGCGCCTGTCGTGGCCAGAGCTGCTCTCTCACCCCTTCATTGCTGGACGGGTTACTGGTAAGTTCCAGCTCTTTTTCCAGTGCTGGCCAGGTATATTTCCTCCTCCTGCTGCCTGGAGGCTGGAAGAACCACCCTGCCCTGTTTTTTTTTACTACCCTGTTCTTTGCCTCCCTCTTCTCTGCTTTCTCCAAGTGCTGACCCCTAACTCCTGCCCCTGGGCTTGCTCTGGCTCCCCTGGGATCCCAGATCTGGTGCCAAGGGAGAGCTGCTGCTGAAGTTCTCCCCTTGCCTCCCCAGTGATTGATGACACAGAAGAGCATGGGATCTCAAACCCCTTCACCACCAAGCTGCCCCCAGAGCTGCAGGCCCTGAAGGAGCAGCAGGCCCATTCCCTGGCCCCCAGGAGTGGCCAGTCCAGGATTCTGAGAAAGGCCCGGCAGAAGATGGCTGAGGAGGCACGGAAAAAGGTGGAGGAAAGTGTGGGATTCCTGTGGCTGTGTCCCACAGACAAGGCAAAGGATGGGCACTGAAATGGGACCTGGGGGACAAGACAGAAGGGATGTGGATCAGACTGGGGTGTCAGCCACACAAGGCAGGATGTGAGGTCCTTGGGGTGGTGGCGTCTAGAGGGCTCATCTGGCTGGCTGAGTAACCCTGACCTGACCAAACTTCTCTGCCATCACCCAGGGGCAGCTGAAGGCAGGTGATGCATCTCCGAAGAGCTCTGGCAAAAGATGTCCAGGGCATGGACCCAGAACAGCCCTGAGGAAGGCAGCTGTCATGGAGGGGGAGCCACTGGCTGCCTCTAAAGAGAAGAACCCCAGTGTCCTGCAGGGAAAGAGCAGCGTGGCAGAGTGGGACTTGGAGGAGCCTCCACCCAACCCACGGTGAGGGAGGTCTGGGGCTGGGAGAGGAGGGGGAGGAGGAAGGGGGGAAGGCAGGATAGCTCACCGACTATGCTGTTTCTTTGGCCAGAGAGCACAGCATCACTCGAGACTATGAGCGGGAGTTTCCTGGAGCAGAGGCCTCTCTGCAGCCTGTTGCTGGCAGGGCAGAGCCCTGGCACAGGCGCAGCATCGAGACCGTGGACCTGGAAAGTGAGGTAAGACAATGTCTTGTGGTGAGGACAGAAGGGCCCAGTCCCCAGGGCCTAGTAGAGAGACCCTGGGGCAGGCGGGGTCTGTGG